AAAAAAACCCTCACCAAACAGCAGAAACAAGTGTCAATGATCCCAATGAGCTCAGGAAGACTGAGCTCTTTCACCTTGATGGCACCCTCCTGGAACGAATGTCAAATAGTAAATCAAGTTACGCAAAGATCGCTGCCTTATTAGATTTCTAAATAATAGAGCAGATAAAGTAAATGTGTAAGTTGCGTGGTAGAAATTTTGCCTTTGTGTTTTTACTGCTGTACCTTGATTGCTTGTTCAAAATTAAGCACTTTCCTGTTGACCTGGTTTCCGATCATCCCTGCGTCCATCTTAGGATCCATCATTTCGATGGCAGACATGGCCTCAAACAAGCCAAACCTGCACCACACGAGAAAACTCACTCTTTTCTCTTCTGAAGAATGATATGAAAATTATTTTGTTTTCATTAAATAGCTAAGCTACAAATAACATAAAACTGAAGTGTTAAGGAATATTAACCAACAACAAATCCTCTTTTCAGTGAGCTAAACTTTAATTCTGATTAGTGTCTTTTGAGAAGTTGCAACTAATCATGTAGTAATTAATGCACTTTTGTCATGCTTACAGTTTATCGTGAAGCAGTTCTCCAAGGTTCAACTCTGCAAAAACAAGATAAGAACAAGTTTGTAAAAATAATGATCCCTTCTGGATCTGCTGAATTTCTAAACAATAAAATATTTTACCTTTGCAGGCACCCTTGAACTCATGAGTGATATCAACCCAATTGGCATTGTTCTTCATCTTTTCTGGTATGCCCAGCACCCAGCCAGTATCATCATCTTCAACTGCTGACTTCATCACCATGGTAACCAATAATAACTTAAAGCGAAAAGAGAAGATGAGCATTATGCCAAGGATTAGACAATGTAACATTGTAACATTATCAGAGCTCAAAAATAGTTTACTCAATAATGAGTTTCCCCGACTACTTTTTTGAAGTAATTTTTGAGTTTGACGGACTTTGACTACAGCGACATGCAGTCCACCTCCAAAACAGACTGCAAGAGATTTTTGAAATACTTTTACAGTACATATTAGTAGTTAATGAAATTATAGACCAAGTATAATTTAAAGTGGGATTACCAAATTTTGATTGATTTAGTAAACTGCTAAACAACAAAAAAAAAAGATCAGCTTCATTAGTATAGTAATCGGTTCAAAGACCAACTCACTGGCGCGTTAAATTGACTAAGTAGTGGACATATTAGCACACTTAGATCAATAAGTGGTTATAATAAAATACTATGGCCACGATATGTAATGCCAATGTGTTGTATGGGCTTATTTAAATCTATTTCACGTTATGTTCAGAAGGACATTGAAGATGATTTGAGAAACTCTAAGCATACTATGTAAGGCACATATATGGCACTAACTGCGTATTTGGGCTTTCTGCTAGTGCTTTCAGAAATATCAGAAATAACCGCGTGACATTTTACCAAAAACGTACAAACACAAAGATGAAGCCATCGCGACAGTATGATAGTAAAGACGCGTGATGATGTTAGCTAGCTTTCGCCAGTTTCAGATACCGTGTGCAAACTAATGCCAGCAACGACATATTTACAGGAAATAAAAAACAATTATGATTACTTTATAGGTTGTTTCACTATCTCCAATATAACAAACACGAAATCTGTGATTCATGAATCATTAAATTATTATAAACCAGCACTAACCTTGTTTTTTAATTCCTTCGAACACTGTAAAGACTGGAACATAAATTTTACGTCATAGGCTGCAGTCAATCTGGGATTTGTAGTCCAAATGGGTACGGGGGACGGTCCTATACACAATATAGCGCGGAATTGACTAAATAAAAAAATGTAAAAACTGAAGATAATTTAAAAGTTGTATTATAAAACGTGGTTTACATTCGGTTTTATTTTAATTACGCATAGAACAAACAAAACAGAAAGACGTAGTCACTCTCGCGTTGCTACTCCCTCTGCTCTCATCACATCATCAGCAGGGCGTTTCAGGCAAACAGTAGCAGTCCCCCTTATCTCAGACTTGATCCTCTCTCAGCTGGACGCAGCTCCTTTTCGTGCAGGTTTGAGAAATGGTATTTTGCTTTTATTGTAAGAATCTGTTGTTTTGTCTCAGCTCGCTTTGTGCTATAAATTGAGCATCGCTAGCTTATTTCACCGTTAGCTGGCCTGCTGGTGCAGACTGTGCGGCCGTTAATGAGTGACCAGCACAGCAGGTGCAGAGGCCATAAGCTTCAACTGGGTTATCCAACTTGGCATCTTTAAGATAAACAATAAAGTAAAATACAAATTTTAACTTGCTGTCAGAAGCAGGAGGCAAAATTTTGTCCTTAATAAATTCTACATTGTGGGAGAAAACCGGTCTAGCGTCTGTTCTGGCGAAGAGAAGTATGGGTAATGTGTCAGTTGTTAAACTGGTTTTTTGAACGTATGAGCTACTCTTTGGTTGCAGCTTTATTCCCCCTCAAACCATAATTATCACTCTAAATTATCTGACAAATTTTCCTGCACATAGTGATGATGAAGGGCTGTTTCAGTATGAGTATGTGAAATTTTGTGGAAAACCCCCCCAAAACTATTGAGTAAGGTTATCCTGATTTTCAGCTGCTTTTGCACCTTCTGTTCATATTGCAACAAAACTTTAGGTGAGGAAAAATTTCTTTTCTAAATGTATTTATTTTTTAAATCTAGTGTTTTCTCAGCGTTTTCCACATAATTTAGCTTTGACCTATACTCCATATACTAGTCTGCCTGGATATGAAGATGTGAAGACAATTTTTTTTCATGACATGTTCAGCCTGTTAATGCATTGCCAAGTAGAAGGCACATCACTGATAGTTTTAGAGAAGCGGCCATTGCTTTCCATCAGTCTGGCATGGTTTATACAGTTATATCCAAACAATTTTATAAGTTCATCATAGTACACTGGGTCTGCTACATTTCCTGTCACAGTTACATGACCTGACCAAACGTGATGACAACCAGGAGTTTATTTCCAAAACTAGGGTGAATTAGGCAGTAGCTTGTGTTGTCCTGGAAGACTCTTCTTTGTAAAGCTGTAATAGCATGGATTTTGAACTTTCTCATTTGGTTTTATAAGGCAAAGGTTTAGATGTTTTTACCAAAATTCAATGCCGTTGTTGGTGAAAACCTTTTCTAGCGGTTAAGCACCTCCATGCACACCATCAGTGACAGTGGTTGAGGGCTAATAGATTTTGACTTGTTTTGGAGACTCGGAGCTAACTATGGATTACTGAACTCCTACTCTTGTAGTTTAGAGGAAGATGTAGGTGCATTAGTCTGATAGCTGTGCAGTGGTCCTTAACACTAAAGCAAATCTACAACAGAATGGCTTTACATGAAAAGAAACGGGGTGTTGCAATGCTCATTCAACATCACAACCCAATGCAGTCTGTTTACCTATAAATCTATCACTCCATGACCCTAAAGCCTCGTAAGCACACGCAATGCTCTAAATATAAATCTTACCCATGATCTGTTTTACAATTGCAATGACATCGAATACTGCAGCTATGACACAAAGCAGTTTATTTTGAAACACAGATGTAGTATTTATGCTTATAACTGAGATTGACACAAATGGCTTGAGAAGCAAAAAAAAAAAAAGCAATCTTATCTAAACCAATTTTGGGATTTAACATGAATATAATCATTATCACTTAATGAATGCCTATTCCTAGTTGGAATGCAGGATTTTAAGAGTTCTGCACTTGCTAATGTTTGCTAACCTCAATATGTTTGTTTATATATGATTAAGAAAAAAAAAATATTCCATCCATTTATATACCTCTCATGGTTGTACCAGCAGTGTTGCACACAAATGGAGTCTTTCTGCATTTGAGTGCAGCCTATGTTAAAAAATGTAATGTGTAGCATCAAGGTTAGCAGTAAAAGAAGGCCTTGCATATAAATTCCTGAAACTGAAAGAGGAAGTATTTAGGTTTTATCATGAGTCTCTGGACTTTTCCCATGTTTAAGGTAGAAATGAATATGCATGTGCACTCTGATATCTAGTTATAATTCAATAGCATATATTGTTATGCTGTAAAACATTTTACTCTTTCATGACCTTCCTCAGGTTGCCAGTTTGGGACGAATCCTGCACATATTTATAGACTTGTACATTCAAAGCTGGGGACAGATGAGCTTTATTGTCAGCTGGTTTTGGCATAGTTGCTTGGCCGGCTCCAGTTGAGAGTCCTGTGGGAACTCATGCGACACCGGGGGTGAAGGTTAATCATGCTTGTTTCCAAATGATGCACAATGTTTTGACTTGTGCTCTTTTAGTAATGCAGACTTTGTTTTCATTCTCTTGCAGTCGACATGACCTTTTGACGTGGGGGAAAAAAATGAACAAACCCAAAATGGCCACAGAGAAGGGGTGAGCTGATGCGTGCACAGCCACACACACGAGCAGTGATGTGTGGGAATGTGTGTAGCTTAGAGAAACATTTTTTTTTTGTTTTGTTTTGTTTTATGAGCTCCTTTGCTCCTGATTTGCTTTTATGATGTTGTTCTGTCCCTGTGCTGTTTTAGTTTTTGACTCACTTCAGAGCAGCGTCCGATCCCACTGTTTATCTTCTGGTCGCACCATGTGCCAGACAGCCCTGTGCAGAGATAATTACATGGCCTCCAGAAGTAGCCATGTGAATTTGTCACGACTAAAAATAATCTGTGTTCATCTCTGTCTCAGGTTTATTTAAGCTCTACATCTGTTTTTGTGTCTTTGTCCGCTCATGCATTACATTCCCCCATCATTCTTGACATTTTCTTTAATTTTCTGTCTTGGATCACTCACTTTCTATTTCTGTTTTCGTCTCCGTCCCCCTCTCTCTCTCTTTATAAGGAATGAGAACTTCTGCTCTGCTGGGTATAATCAGAGTTTAGATTTTTCATTGTTTGCCCTTGCTGTACCAAGTGACCCCTAATCTCTTGCTTCTAGTTCAGTGCCAGGGAAGTTCATATTTTTAGAAAAATATTGGTCACCCTAGAAATAGCTAATCTCTCGGGAACAGCCATTAAGTCAGCTTTAGTAGAATAATAAATACATCTTAAAGTAGATCTGATGTGTGTTTGGTAACGGTGGGTTACCAGTGAGGCTGTTCCTATTTATATTTCATTGTTTTTGACATGCACTGCCTTGCAAAAGCAGCGATGCCACTTTTTTTTTCTCATTTCGTCATCTTCAACCTCAGACTTAAATGTATTTGCTACTTTGGGTCAAATAAAACCTCAAGAAAATACTGTGAAATTCATCAAATATAAATGTATTTGTATATTAGATCATAGTTCCTCTGTTGTACAGCATAGTGTGTCCAGTTACATGGAAGACAGAAGCGATATGAGATGGACCTGTTGAGAACTTTGTGAATTCAAGTTTCAATGTCGTTTTTTTTTTTTGCCCCAGTGTTCCCAGTAACTCCAAGGTAGCAATGCTCCTCTGCCAGCTGGAGAAGATGAACGAGGAGGTCCTGGTGAGAGATGTAGAGACAACAAGGCTGGTCACAGCAAAGATCCTTCATCTTATACAGACACAGGGTAAGGGAAGATAAAAAGCGAGTCACTTAAGATATGCTGGCCTCTTTATTAGGTACACATGTTCTTGTTAACACAAATAGCAATTCAGCCAATCACATGTTAGCAACTCAATCAATTTAGGTATTTAAAAACTTGCTGATGTTCAAAACAAGCATCACAATGGGGGAAGAAAAATATTTATGTTAGCGTATTTTATGGTTCCAGAAAAACTGATCTCAGTATTTCAGGAATATTCACCATATTCGCAGATTTACAAGCAGTGGTTGAAAATCACTGCTTGTGTGGATGAAAATCCTTTTCTTGCTGTCAGAGGAGAGTTGGCTTTTCTGGATCAAGAAAGTAGAAAAGCAACAGCAGTTTAAATAATTCCCTTGCTAAAACCAAGACATGCAGAAATGAACACTGAAAACACAGCATGTTGAAACTTGAAGCAGATGGTCCACAACAGCAGAAAAACACAACGGGTGTCTCTTTAGTCAGCTAAGAACAGAAAACTGAGGCTTCAAACACTCACCAAAATTAGACAAATAAGTGCCTGATTTGATAAGTCTTGATCTCAGCTGCAATATTCAAATGGTATGGTTAGAATTTGATGTAAACAACATGAATAGCATGAATCTGTCCTACCTGTTTGGGAATATTCTCATGACACACTATTAGCCTGGGGATGTCACTTGAGCATCGTTTAAACACCACATCCTAGCAGAATGTCACTCAACTTGTCCAGCTCTGGGTCACCTGATCTACCCATTTTCTGATGCTTACTTTCAGCAGGATTTATGCACCATCACCAAAAGTCAAATAATTTCTGCTAGGACTGGACGATACAGCCCTAGTATCACGATATAAGCTTTTTGCATCAGTCGTTATCAATAATTAGTCATTAGTTTTCAGTTTTAAATATCTGAAATATTACCAAACTAGTAGCGTAACTTTGCTTCTGTTATCCACAGCTGTTATGAGGCAGCAGTTATAAAGCGTGGTGTCGAAACCTAAACCGTTGCTGTGCAACTCAACAAATTTATGCTAGGTAACCAAAGAGTGAGTGAGTGAGTGAGTGAGTTTATGCCTCTCACCTTACTTAGCTGGTTGAACAGCTTCAGTCTTTTCCCTGCCTACATCCCCCAAAATGCTGTGCGGTTCAAATTGGAGTTCTATTAGATGTATCATATAGTGATATGCATCTCATCGCAATATATTATCTATCGCGACATATGTTTTTATATGTCATGATATACATATTGTTTAGCTCTAATGTCAACTAGTTTCTTGAACATGACAATGAGTTCACTGTACTATAATAGCTGTCATCTTACCATCCTGTCTGACTCCAGTAGTACCTTAGGTATGAAATAGAACAGGACAGGCCAGAAATCTGCAACAGCCATGTGATGCTATCCTCTCTGTCAGAGGAGAGTTGGTAGACTGGATCAGGATGGTAGAAAATCAACAGCAGAATTCTTTGTTCAAAACAAGATTTATAGAAGCAATCAATGACTACATAGCGTGTTGAAACTTGAAATGAACTGTATACAATGTAGGATTGCATTGAATTCAATAAATGGCAATAAAATAAACAGGCCAAAAACACAGAGCCTTCCAAAGAAAACCATCACACAACGCGATCGTCATCCACCTTCTGGATCAGTTTTCAAATCCGAGCATAATTATCTTCAGTTTTTGCTGATTGCAGATATGAGGTTATAGCCTGATTCACTTTTAGCTCAGTGTTGCTAGGGAGCCAAATATTTATACATATAAACTTACAAAGTAATGTTTTAGCCTCTTTTTCTTTTTTTGTTCTTTTTTTAGATATTTGTAACCTTAAACAGCTAAACTCCAGCAGAGATAAATATCTGACTGATGAGGTCCGATAAGCTCACTTTTTCCTAAAAGCCACTTTGCCAAATGTTTAGTTTTTTTCCTTTTGCTGTCCTAAATTATATAGTCTCCAGTTTGTAATATTGACATCTCTGTAGACTTGATCTTTTTACTTAAAACATTAAAACACCTTATTTTTCCTTTACATTTTCAAAAGGTTTTAATCAGGAGTTAAGTTAATTAAAAGCTTGTTTTACCTCTTTGTGTGTAAATGGGTGCGGCAGTGGCTGAGATGTAGATTGACTGATCTTGAGCCTCACAGTTTCTGATTACTCTTAAAGAGCAGTCTTGATCTCACAGCGGAAGGAGAAGGCATTGTGCCACCTCACGGTGTTGAACACAGTGTAACATGAGTGCAGCCTTGTTAGCAGGGAGCCTCTGTTGTAAACTCGGATTAGTTCAAATATCAGTTTCACATTGTTGTTGCACTCTTACTCTCAATAAATGTATTTGTCTAAGTGGTGAAACTAACTGACAATTTTGATACTTGTTCAGGTCATTTATCAAGTAAATATGCAGAGCGTTCTCAGCGTTCTAGTTGCGACATGTCAGGATTGCCTGCTATTCTGCAATTGACATCGCTGTAAATAGCAAACACACTCACAAAACTAGCAATGTAAAGACATGAACTCAGGCTGCTGGATATATGAAGTGTACTTTCAACAACATTTGACTCAGTCGTCTCGAAAAATAATTGAATCATGAATAAAAACGTCATCATAATCAGTCACAGATTATTGACTGATTTCCAAGTCTAAGATTTCTTTTTAAATCTGCTATAATTTAACTGGTTTCTTTTTAAGGTGACAAGTAATCACATAAAAAAATGTAAAAAAAAATCTGGCCATTCTGTTGTGTTGTGCGGGAGCCAAAATAATAACACTCTGTAATAGGGCAGACACTGTGATAGATTTTTAAAATTTAAAACAGAAAATTAATTTGGAGTTAATACTTTAAGCTGTCTTTACTGTCTCACATTAGTGATCTGCATTACTAACTGATAATATCAGTCTGCGTGTGACCTTAAGAAATGTAGACCCTTACCGTGACGTAAGAGATTTGCAAAGGTCTAACATTTCCAGTTCCAGTTCCAATTCTTACAGGCTGAACACAAAGGAATACAATGAAGCCTTGAGCATGCTGGTATCTAATAACATGTGCTAATAAATCACTCCTACGCCATTGCAGGTATGAAATTACCAAAAATTCAGAAAGGTAAGAAATGACAGGCACCCATCACCAATGACTGACTCTCCGCTCCAGCTGTCTAATTGAACAAACCACATGCCGCCATTGAAAATACAGTAGCCTTTTAAATAGCTTCTTACACTGCTGTGCTTCCTCTGACTTTATTTTTAAACCATGGCCTCTGCAGAATCTTAAAGAGTCTTTATACTTTTCTCCGTATTAGGTTTGAATGTTGGACCTTGAAATTATACTAGCTCATCAATGTCATGTAGTTAATGTCCGTCAACTTTTCTGTAGCATGCCAAGTCGGTTTCTGCTGGAACTGTCATGGTGTATGTTTAGGTTACTACAACAAAAACATTCCTTGAATTTTATTTGATGCTTTTTTTTTAATAAGGTATAAATGTAATGAACTGGATTTCGACGGAACCTGCTGCAGTTAACCATTCCATTATGAACCTCACTGTCTACTGTACGAAGGTGGTGAAGTTGGATGACCAAGGTGTGAAACACTGGAATAACATTCCAATCGAAAAAAAAATGACTAGGTTATGTTAACTTGCTAAACACATTATGCAATGTAAAGTGATAAACATAACTACTCTGAGTTAATAACATTTTGAAATCTAAGATATAGTTTTATAAAGTCTTAAATTTAACAAATTGGAACTTGCAAAATCATGTTGGAGGAGACTGAAAATAGCTAACTTTGACTCTTCTTCCTTCAGTAGCAACTTCCATACTGAAGAACTCAAGGTGACCTGGCAGAACCTCCTTTCTTTGTGTTCATTGGATGTAAAAATAAATGATTTTTCCGAGTTTCCAATCAGCCAATCGGGCTGTAAATAATCTGATGCTGGTCACCAACCATTTTCTCAGTCCTTCTCTTAGTATTTGTAAACAAGAACAACCTTCAGAGAAACGACTAGGGAATGCTTGTGTTATGTAATTAAGTAAAGAATTTTGGTAAATCATTATTTTTTTCCCATGCCAACATGCTTTGCATTCCCTCTGACCTTGTTTCCATCTCATCTTTCCTGAATATCGTCTTTCCTCTTCCCATAGTTTCGTTCTTCTCCTCTCTCCAAAGTCAAGCAGCTAATCCATTCTGACTGACGGGCACAGTGGAAAACTGTCTGTCTGTAACTCTATCAATCATGATATACAGCTGTTCCCCTTCTCATCTCCTGCTTTGCTATCTGTCAGTGCCTCCCCTGCAACTCCAACTTGAAACGTGTATGAGTATGACGTTGGTCAGAGGGAAGTGGAAGGGGGGCTCTGACCCTGTTCACAGTAACTATACACTCCAGGAGGGACTTTTCTGTACTCTGTCTTAAGTTCAGAGTCTTAGGGGCTTAGGAGGCAGTGAAGAGGAACCTAAAGAAAGAACAAGAGAAAGCTAAGACTTATTACAGTGTCCTTTTCAGAGTTGTGTATTCCCTTTCATCTTACCAACTTTTACTTGAAAGGATGCATTGTAAGCAACAATTTTCTGTTGAAGCAAGCAGTAGTTGAGTTGTTGGCAGAGTCTAAAGGGAGGTGCTTGTTACTAAGTGTGGATATCTGTGCACACACGGTAGAAGAGCAGGTGGATTGTGTTAACATCTAAGGAGATCACTGCTTGCCGTGAGGGGATGCAGACATACCAATGAAGCTTTGGGAGTTCTTCAACTTTTGGCATCATTTACTGTAGCATATCAAACTCAGAAGGGTTCTGATTTACTACAGTAAAGAAAAGCTGGTAACTGGGAAAACAGTGTGCATTTTCATTCATCCCATCTGAGAAGTATTAGGTTTGTTTTGTTTTTAAAATGGATTATCACTACACCAGGAGATACTATCCATCGCTGGACTATGCAGATTCATCAGGTAGGGTGACAAATGACAAAATACACAAGTGAGTTATTTAGAGAGTTGGAATTGAGTGTAGAATTTGAAATATGGATACATTCCTAATTCTCTATTTTTTCTTACTCATTTGTGAAATTTGTGGTAGTCATAGGCACTAGCAGCACATACCAAAAATGGCGACAAAAAGTTGGATTTTAAATGATTTTGTGGTGGATTTTTTATTTATTATTTTTTTCCATATCATTTGACCTGATGACACAGACTTTACAAGATCCCAATTTCTGTGTAAAAACTGAGATATAAGAACAACTTTAAAAATGTATACTTCTAGCCTTACTGTTCTGAGTGACCATTAATAATAGATATAGAGGTGGAACCAGACTTTTGAAAATATTTGAAAACTAAGTTGTTGCAGAGTTTACATTTAAAATTGGATTTAATTAGTATCTTAGCAACAGCTTGACATTACTAACTGTAAACACTGGTTTTCTTGTGCATTCTTTCCAGAATTTAGACACTGAAGCTTTGAGGTTTTCTGAAGGTCATCAATATTTCCAGTTCAGTCATATTCCATAATATAGTTTTAAAGCTTGAAAGCTAAAACCGAGCAGCTCTTGTGTAACATATTTAGCCTTCCTGTTATCTGTTTTTAAAAATCTCCCTGTAATTGCTTGAATGAATTGCAGACGTATCTGGACATGTCATAGAAAATGTTTTGCTTTTAAATTGCTTCTTATATTTCCTGGTTCCTCTGAATTCATTTTAAACACCCCACTCATGCCAAAAATGACAATGTGTTCACTGATCAGTAATGATCAGATTTTTATATTCCCAACCCGGTCCAGTCAAACATTTAAATTTCTGTACATCTCTACTTGAATAAAAACATAGGAGTTCACTGTGCTGAGATTAAAATGTAGGTAATTTTGTTCTGGGAAGCATTTTTACAGAAAGGCGTCAATCACCTTCTGGTGTCGAGGCGCTGATTTGTTTAGAAGCTCTTTTAAAAGTCTGGCATGTTACAAATGTTTTCAGAAGATGCTGCGCCCCTCTCCTCTGGTCTAAAGTGTGTGCAAGGACAGACTGGACATACACGATTCCTGTTTGGTCTCCAGTGTAACTTTGGCATGTTTTCCTTACGGCAAGTTGTAAGAGCTGCATACTTGGCACATTTCACCCCCACTAATGACGCATTGCATGTTGTGCCAAACACGCAAAGCTGCCAGACATAAAGTCTAAAATCTCCATCAAGTAATGTAATCCTCCACTTGGGTTTTTTTTTTATATATGGTCTGCATTTCTGTCATAAACTGCTGACTTAAAAGAAATTTAATAACGCCATTTACGTCACTTTTAGTTCCCTTTTTGTCATTATTTTTGTTTGCATTTTTTTTCCACTATATTTATGTGCTCTTTGTCATTGAAACTTATGAGAAATCATAAAGAGTTTGTTGCAAAGCCTTCAGTGTCTGTTCTGGGTATTTCTTGTTTTGAGAGTTCTAATGTGTTCATTTTAATGTGTTTGCACTCGCAAAACAAGACAAAGTATCTTTTTTATTAGCTTTTGCAAAAAAAAAAAAAAAAGAAGTCAGACAAAAATGGAGAGGTTGAGTAATTCAAGCACTGATATGTTAAAAGTCGTCTTCTGTTGACTCGAAAATGTAATCTTATGTTTGAAGAGTCGTTTTTAAGTTTGTTTTAAAGTTCTTTAAAGGTTGAACATACAAGATGTTGAAAACTAATATAGATGCAAACAACGCTTTGCTATGTAAAGCTTCAGTGGATTAAATGTGTCTGCCGTAGAGAATGAAGTCACTTTCTTTGTCTGTTGTAACGTGAGCCTCTGCACTCTGTTGTGGCAACCAGTGTAATTGCAAAGCATATTTTCGAACGGGAGCCCTTTAAAGTTTGAGCCGTTTAACCAGAGACAATCTTCTACACTGTAGCTCCTGAAAACAAACCAAGGACTCCAGCTAAGATGGCTGCTATAAAGAAAGGATAAGACCTTGCATTATGTCGACTCTGATGAGATACAAACCTCTGAAGGACTCTGAACTTTTTTTCAGTTTGCTTGGCTTTAGAAATCACAGGAGTTTGGCAATGGTGGTCATCACCTGCTCTGTGGGATTAAGATTAAAAAGTGCTGCTGTTCTTTTTATAAAGTCTTTACATCAGTTGAACTAAACAAATTTCTTTGTTTTTTACATTTCTGATTATTTTTTTATTCTGTGTGGTGTTTCAGAGAGGAGTGGAAAAGAGGTGATGTCCAAAGGCTCCAGTGGAATGGAGGTCATCCTGTCTTCCCTGGAGGTCAGCACATGTTCACTCAACCACAGACTTTCTCTTCACGGCATTGCAACACAATCTGTTTAATAGACCACCTTTTCTAAAATTCAACAACCGCAGGATTAAGTTACTTTGCATGAACAGTCTTACATTTACCCTTTTGGAATCAACCACATAATGGAGGTTGTTGGCCTCTCAGATGCAGGTTTCAGAATAAATAAGTTTCACTTGAAAACCTCTCATTTATATGTCTGAAAATGTTATAGGAAATATGAAAACAATCCCGTTTACAAAAAAATACCACAAAAGGAACCATAATTCAACTAAAACCTTGTATGATGTAAGAATTAAGGATTCCTCATTTTCAGCATGAAACCATCTATTCACTTGTAACCATAGAATCACATAACTGTTCTCAGTTAAAAAGGTTTATTAAAAGCAAATTAATTTATCTTGCTCTTAGTGAACAATCTTCTCATTCCTAAACTTTGTCATTCTCCTTTAAAAACCGCAATTTTGCAGCTGATTTCACATTGATCCCAAAGTCTTCTACATTTAACCCAAAAATAAAAAACTTCTGAAAAAAGCGTAGAGAGAATCGCGCTTCATTTTCCAATTTGCAAACTTTTAACATGTGTGGTGTTTGTCACTTTGACAGAACAGCAGGGATGTCCAGACCACCTTGAACATCATGTCCATCCTCAGTGAGCTGCTGACAGTTGGTAAGAAGACTCTGATTTATTTTCTTCACATTAAAATCAAGCTGCCTAAAGTCAGAATACCTGCATTTATTTATAAGTGCAATAAATGATTTTAAAACATGATACATGTTCTTAATGCATACACAGTATAATGTGATTCCACAATTAACGATGTGGTAGAAATAAATTGTATCAATGTTAACTCAAGTGGTTCTAATCTTGTCCTGAATTAGGTTTCAAGCTCATTTAGTACAGTTCTATTCTTGGTTTTCTGTCTTAGGCAGAGGCCGCAGAGTGGGAGTGTTTGTTTCCAAAGGAGGAACTGGAGTTTTATTCCAGATTCTGATTTCTGCCAGTAAAGACCTTCCTCCCAGTGAGGAACTTATGTTGCAGCTTCACTCACTACTGGCGAAGGTTGGACCAAAAGGTATTTTTATTGTCACAGTCTATCACCATCTATTACCATCTAAAACATGATCTTGAGCTGTAAAAGTGTAGAATGCCTTCTCTGGGTCGGGGAAGAAGTCCTGCCCTAAGTGGAAGAGTTTAAGTGTCTCTGGATCTTGTTCTATGGATCTTCTGTTCCCTCTCTGGAAAAATGGAGATGTAGATCTATAGGCAGACTGGTGTGGTGCCTACAGGGAAGTGGGTGCTGTGCCGGTCTGTCATGGTGAAGAAAGAGCTAAGGCAAAGTTCTTGATTTATCGGTCAATCTACATTCCTACCCTCTACTATGATCAAGGACTTTAGGTCATGACTGAAAGAACAAGATCACAAGCACAGGCAGCCAAAATGAGTTTCTCAGACGGGTCAGAGTAAAGCCGCTGCTTCTCCACATGGAGATGCATTTCTTCAAATTCAAAAAGTTGATTAGGTATTTTTGTAACTTTTTATGTCAACTTGACTGTTAGTGATGTAGTTATATAGATGTAAAAAGAAAACTGCAAATGCCTGATTTAAAAAAAAAAAAAAAAAAACATTGGTATGCTGTGGATAACTCAGATTATAAATTAATTCTAACTACATGTTGAGTGCGTAATCTTAACGTGATTCCTGTCCTACACTGTTAACATGTTCAATCACGTAAATGATTAAAAATTGTTAAAAAATAAAATCACACATTGAAATATAGGTGATGTTTATCTGCAGTGAGGCACAGTATAAGCACATTGTTTCTTTCTTGTGCATTGATATTGAACCTTGTGTATGTTCAGACAGAAAGTTTGGAGTGAAGGCACGTCTAAGTGGAGCGCTGAACGTCACGGTCGACGTAGTGAAACAGAATCTACAGAACGCTAAAGTGCTTCTGCCCTGTCTGCAGGTTCTCAGGATTTACTCTAACAACTGTAAGTAAAAGGCATCCTATGTGTCTGGGAGTTGAGCAAAGAAAGCATTTTACGACAAATGTTTTTGTTTCTTTTGAGCATTTAGCACAATTTTCTAAATTTTTTTTTTTCCTTACTATATAAAGCGGTGAATGCTATTTCTTTGGGCAAGACTGGTATGGTGGAAATCATTTTCAAGATTGTTGGGCCGTACAGCAAGAAGAACACAAGCCTCTTTAAGTGAGTGTTTGTTTTTTTGTCTGGTAGTGAAGAAGCATGAACTTGTATTTAAAAGATACCAGTGGTATCCACAGGCTACATCTCCTTGGCCTTTTTCTGATGGAGTCCTAAATCATCATGTAACCCTTTTGCCTTGCTTTAAAATTAACAGGGTAGCTCTGGACGCACTGGGAGCTCTGCTCAAATCCAGTGAGTAATTGTTTTGTCGAGTTAAGCTTCATTCTGTGGTAATTTCTCAGCAGCATCTTCATCTAGTGTAGCTTATCGTTTCCTTTTTCTCACCATTACTTTGAATAACCTAATTTGCTTTTGATCCTACTGCTGTCCTCTATATTATGTCTGCACTTCATGGGTTTATTTTAATTCATTACACCTTTAGTTAGTCCATCCCACAGTATGGAAGTTATATGTGGCAATACTTTATCAGCTACTCCTTTTACTCCCGTGTGCAGAAACTAATGCCCGTCGTGCAGTGGACAGTGGCCATGTGCCCGTCTTGCTTGCCTTGTATCTGGATTGGCATCGCAACGACACTCGACACCGCTGTATGTTGATTCGTAAAGGATTGCTGGTATGCCTCAGAAACATTACCAACATCAAACTGGGCCGTAGGGCATTTTTGGAGGCCGACGGCATTAGGATCTTGTACCACTCCTCCACTGTGAGTAAGAAAATCTAAACGAGAAGAAACGAAAGCAAACAGTACACATATACGGTCTGAGACTCTGCTGTGCTTTCTGTATTTGTTTTTCAGGAGTGTCTACCCGTGCGGACACTGGATCCTCTGATCAACACTTCAAGCCTCATCATGAGAAAGTGTTTTCCTAAGAATCGCCTGCCTGTGCCCACCATCAAGTCGGCCTTCCACTTTCAGCTGCCTCAGGTCCCTCCTGGAGGGCCTGTGGACCAGCTGTACAACCAGCTTTCTGGGGGTGAGGTTACACAACGTATTCACAACCTTATGTGGATTTTCAGTTTAGTGTGCTCAGATTATAAATATTCTCAGGGCTTTAAACAATTTGCAAGATGCCAAACTTGGTATTTAATGCAACAAAAACACTTAACCTACCCAACAGTTAATGCAAGTGGCTCTTGAATCTGTGGCACAAGATTTGCCTTTTCAGTGAAAAAACCCCACCATAGCAGCAGTTTTTTAAAACAGGGTATGTAAATATTATTGTGATTTTATAAAATTACTCTGAGAAGAGCGTAGCAGTAGTGATGTTTAAGAAAAATGATGCAGGTTTTTCATGATGTCTTTGTATTTTTTTTAGAAATAAACAATTTGATTGTTGCATTTATTTGTATTTATCCTTCACTTTTTTAGAGAACGTTAAAGGTACCATATTATAGTACAATCATGTAACTATTTTAACTTCAGCTCACACAGATAACTGAATATTCAACATCTCATAATGCTCTATACATCAACATGACTTAAAAGAAATTTGATCATGCAATTTGACGCCTTGAATTTAGGAGCTCCGTCTCTTTAAAAAGCTCCAGCTCTTTACAACTCTGGCCTTCCTTCAATAATTTTTGTCCAGTAAGCCTTTAAAAACATAGGAGCGTTGCACTGAGAAGTAGTTCTTATGAGCTCGGCAGACTCGCAGCTCCTCCAGATGTTTGCTAATTGCTGCTGCCACTAGTCTTGAGGAGCTGAATGGGATACGCTCGGCTGGAGACTGCAGCTCTGAGGAGGAGCTGAGTGGAAAAGGCAGCGCTTGGTGAGAGCAAGCGTTTGGGCACCCTGACTGGTTGCCAGGGCAGATTAAAGGATTTCTCAGACATGCATGAAAGATGAGGAAATAACATTATAACATGAAGTAAACCTCACAGTTGATTTTACATAATACTCCCTTTTACATAATGCACATAATACTGCATCATAAAAACCAAAGGTATCTCAAATTTTCTCGCGTAGCAGTCAATTCATCTAAAAATGGAAAGAGGTTGGCACAACACTCATATTAAACACAAAAGTATGCCACACTTCTCTGATTTTTATTTGTGAAAATGTTTCCATTTCCCTTCCACATCACATTTTTGTTTTACTTTCTTGTGGTCTATCCCATAATAAAACAGACAAAATGTATTGAAGATGGGGATTGTATTATAAAAAAAAAATTGAAAAAGTTTAGTCTTTTTGCAAGTAACTATTTGTACATTAAACTGGTTAAACACTTCCTTGGACAAAGTACAAAAATAAACGTGTGTCTATATGTTTTTTGCACAGTGGATGATGTTGTGGATGAAAGCGATGATGATGAGGAGGCCGAGGGAGAGACAGACACTGAGAACGACGATGATAAGGATCAATGCAGCCTGGTAATACCCAGTTTTAAATTCATATACAAAGTTTGATATAACAACCTGATATATTATTTCTATTATTATTTTAAAGGTTAAGTGTCTTATTTTTTCCTTTTGTTTTTCATGCTAATTTAACTAAAGTAGCTTTTTAATATACAAACTTCAGTTACATGCCATTCCTTGTATTTGCAATTCTTTTAATTTACAGCAGATGGCAGTCTCTTCACTTGAATTGAATAAATAAATGTTCGGCTTTTTTCTTCAGCTATGTTTGTTTCCATTTGTGTTGTTTCTGGCATACTTTTATTACTGTCTTCTCTCAATCAGAATGATGACATAGAAACGGATCTCAACAAGCTGCATCCCAATAGGAACATTGGACGCCCATTTGAGGAGCTGAAGGACTATCAGAAGTTTTTCTCAGAGCTGTCTGAGGACTTTCAGGTGGGCATTGTCTATTTTTAAGATCCATGGTCTTTTTTTTTTTTCTTACAATATAGATTTAATTTTGTTTATGTTGGACTAGTTGGCTAAAATGTCACAGTTGTCTGTTTTTAACTGTAATTTTAAAATAATCACACCCAAACTGTCACAGCTACATGGCTCATAAACTCTACATTTCAGATGATAATAGTATGCCTAACACCAAAATTTTATTTGTGCTGCGCTGGAGTTGGTGCAAATTCAACCATCTGTACCTGTGCAACAGTCTGAAACCATGGCTTTAGAGAATATACAGAGACAGATGCTTCCACTTAGTAATTTTAGCTGCTCTAACGGTCCTATTTGCTAATATAAGATTCTGAAAACAGTGTAAAGCTTGAAACCATGCCTATTTAAAATGGTAAAAGCCATTGTTCTTCGACTATACTTGCTCTGGCATAGTGTGTGTGACATTCCTCCTGTTTCAAATGTAAATAGATAACAGCTCAGCTCATGGCAGAAATGCTACAAATAACTATTTTGTAGGCTGTTAAAGTTCTCACAAAAAATGAGAAATGGCTAAAGCATACTGGAAAATATTTTAGCAGTGCATTTATTTTTATATCATAAATAACAAGGTAAATTATTTTTCCTGTCGTATTTTTAAAAATATATATAATTCTGTCAAGTGTTTAAGATTAAGTGAAACCGAATGCAGTAAAATTTACAGCACAGACTTATAGTTCTGCATTAAAAATGAAACCTCTACAAACCATTTTCCTTTCACCACTAATGCACAGGGCTCTCCAACGCTTCAGCCCCTGTTCACTGAAACCACATGTCAATGAGTTGGTCTCTTGACAGCATTTAACACTATGCTCAGTAGCACAACAGTAATTTCAGTTACGTAGAGGCCAAGCAGTACCTTTGTCTTTGAACCACTGGTTAGGTTTTGTGTGTGCCCGACTGTACTGACTGAGCATGGCATCTTAACCTTAAAAATAATAATATTGTGTCACTGGCAGATTTTTCCAACTTGATTACTCAAAATTTACTCTCCTTTGAATAAATGTGCATATCTTCATTTTTTTACAGGGGTATAGCTTTGACTTTTCAAAGAGCGCCTCTACAACATCTCCGTCAACATATCTCTTCTCATCATCGTCTGCTCGGATCAGTCGGCCAGCTGAAGTGCCCACAGCTCAAACCCCGTCTCCAAAGCAAATACCAGATTCTCAGAACGTTTGCACCTCTGTCAAAGAGCATCAGACTCTATCGTCTCCCTTCCTCGCTTGTTCTCAAACTCCTCTGGACCTGGACACAATCCACCTCAGTAAGAACAAAGATCAACAAGAGGGCATCAACATTCCAGCCCCAGATAGACGCACCGCTCCAACCTCCATCTCAACGTCTCTCTCTCAAGGCCACATGATAGAGCAGGAGCTGGCCCAACCACTGGAGGGTGTCTCTCTTGAAGACAAAGGGAATCAGAGTGCAGAAGCTGGTTCTGAGAAGGTCAAACACGAAGGCTCTCCAGTTAACAACTTGAGACACTTCCAGCCACCTTTGCTCCTTGGGGGTTTCCCGGTACGTCGCACAGGTGGAGGAGGCAGCAACGTGGGTTCGGATTGCGGGTCAGAAGGTACTGAAGACGAAGCAGGTGATGCTCCGCTTCTGGAGGTGCCAGACACTGCTCAACTCCTGCCACTGCATGACCCTGACCTTTATGTGGAGATGGTGAAGGGGACACAGTCAGTCCCACAGTACGCTGAAGTGGCTTACCCAGATTACTTTGGACATATAGCTCCAATGTTAAAGGAGCCTCTTCTGGAGAGAATTTATGGTGTACAAAGGTGAGACAACTGCAAAAGAAAGTGGCTAAAAGAAATGTTTACTTGAAAAGTCACTCCATTACATGATTACCAAAATATTTTTATCTCTTGAGCTTGAATATTAAATTTAAAATATCTTTATCTTGTAATAATGCAAGTGGTTCTTTCTTTGTCTGTAGGTCTAAGATATTTCAGGACATTGAGCGGCTGATTCATCCTAATGATATCCTAGATAAAGTAGTTTACGACATTGATCATCCCAGGTGAGTTATGACATGGCTGCTAAAGGTTTTTTCGTAGGTGAAAGAGTTCAATAGATTTCCGTCCAGTGTCTTAAGTGTTTATATTGAATTGTTATCAGAGAGAGCAATTTTTCATTTTGTGAGCATTATCTATGCATTAAGGAATTGACCACCATTTTTGTTTCAGTTCCATGATTGAAGAAAACGGCGAATCACTGAAGTTCAACTCTCAGTTTGAGTCAGGAAACCTCAGGAAAGCCATTCAAGTCAGGAAGTAAGTTGTCTTTTTGTGAAAAATATTAGCAGTGTACTCTTACAGACTTACTCAAGGTAATGCCCAAAAATATTCACATCTCTGTCAGATTTAGGTGTATAGTAATCTTTCAGTGTTGGCAGCATGTTTTTTTCAATGGGAAGTAATTTTAATGTTTTGGCTCAACTAGAATCCAGACTGAAATCTAATGACAAACCTGTGGAGAGGACTAAATATTTCTGTGCTCTTCAAATGGGACAGGGCTCATTATCAAAGATAAGTTGTTAGAAAAGTGGTTTTAATTAAAAAAGTGAAGTTTTTTTTTTCATTGAGGAAGGCATCAGAAGCTTCTTGGTTAAATGAAAAATAAATTTGAATCTAAACCTTGAAATAGGATGAATGATTTTGGGCTTGACTGTATACATTATCCCTTGTACATTTTACATACATACTGTATCCCTTGTACATTTTCTTTTTATATATTTTGTATAAACACATGTGATATAATGAATTATGTGATATTTTTTTCTGTTAGTTGATATTTAGGTTCATATTTATTATCTCTGCTTTTTTTTATTTTTTATTTTTCTCCAGATACGAGTATGATCTTGTTCTGAATGCTGATATCAACAGCAATCACTACCATCAGTGGTTTTACTTTGAAGTGAGTGGCATGCGAACCGGGACTGGGTACCGCTTCAACATCATCAACTGTGAGAAGTCAAACAGCCAGTTTAACTATGGTGAGACATGAAGCATCATCTGAAGGAAAACAAACAGACTCTGGCAAAGGAGATGCAGTGTGGTATAGTGTAACTTTCTGCATAAATCTGTTTAAACATGTTTGTCTGCGTACAGGCATGCAACCACTGATGTACTCTGTCCAGGAGGCCATCGGCGGCAAGCCTCAATGGGTCAGGACAGGAACAGACATTTGTTATTATAAGTAGGTGAAATCAACAATTTGTAATGGACATGCAAAGAATTTATTTATTTATTTAAAGAAGCCATTAAAGAAACTTTGCAATTAGTATTAGAGTTCCACAACACCACAGCAGTTTTACACTTTAATGTAGCACACTTCACTGAGCCGTGGAGCACACACTTGACTATATTATATTTTATACTTGCTGCATTAATAAAAATTATGAGCTCATAATAACGGACTTAGTGCTCAGCCATTTTTAAAAGGCCTCTCTTAGAACGTGCATCACTGCTTCACTCCATCTTCACTTGTGTTTTAGAAAGAACAGCCATGTATGATGTTGGAGATTTTTTTTACTGTCTAGATGTTAAAGAACTCTGTTCTATACTGACCTCGCTTAATCTTCCAAATCTGAAAGTGACTCTTTTAGTGGATTATTTGTTTTATTGCAGGAATATGCAATATAACTTTACAGAATAAATTACCTGCTTTGAGGGGTTTTTTTTTAGATTGATTTCTTTTGTACTGTTCAACTAAAATGTTTATATTCACAGGAATCACTTTGCAAGAAGTTCTGTTGCAACTGGGGGACAAAAAGGAAAATCGTATTATACGCTGACCTTCACCGTAACCTTCATCCATAAGGATGATGTCTGCTACTTTGCCTATCATTACCCTTACACATACTCCACGCTCAAGGTACTACTTCAGTCCCACTTGTAGTCTCACAACTAAATGTTTTGCTTGTCAACATGCACTTTGCATGAGAAATATGAATATAAGTATATTGTTTTGGTACTTTTTTGATATGTTCTAACAGCTAGTATCACTTTATGCTCATGTTGTTAAACATTTGATACTTCAACAGAGTAAATTCTAGATGAAGTATCAAATTATTTTGTCCTTTCCATTATAAGCTTGTACAGCATTCAATGTTCTAAACTATAGTCATTTATATTGAGCAACTTAGCAGAGTTTCATAGCTGAGTCAGTCAAATTTGATGCAATGGTACAAGAACACATTTCAGAAAGCCAGATTAAATCAGAGTTGGAATAAATTCAGACATGTTTTAGAAGGAGAGAACTAAGGACTTAGATTTTTTTTACCTCTTTCAGATGCACCTGTCCAAACTGGAGGATATGAGGACTCCTCAGATCTATTTGAGGCAGGATGTTCTGTGTGAAACCCTTAGTGGAAACACATGTCCACTTCTCACCATCACTGCCATGCCAGAGTCCAAATCCACTGATCATATCTGTCAGTTCAGTAAGTGAATGAGTTCTGGTATATTGCCCATGTCTTATTTAATGAACAAAAAACAAGGTTTAAGCAAGGTTTAGTTATACTGTGCTTTAAAAAGTAAACTGAAATCTAAGTTCAGTGGTTGATGATGTTGAGTGCCGTTTACTGTTTATACACCAGATTCAAAAAAATTTGGTGTCTTTTACAAGATGTAACAACCATGGTGATTGCTGCTATAATAATCAGTGAAACAAAACCGATGTCCTATTCAATAATATGTAACATATAATGCCATCTGTTGCTGACGAGTAAAGTTTGACTTCATCTAATTTAAGTGCAACTCAGATCAATTTTTGGAGGGTAAATATTTGATTGAATTTGATCTCCTTAAAACGAGACTGTGAAAGCACAATATAAATTCTGTTTATTAATTTAACATTTTTATTTAATTGTGAAAAAATGTTATTAAAATTGTATTCCTCCTCATACCATTGCCTTATACACATGTTCATTCTGTACCTCTCTTTGTTTTATTTTGCAAATCTTACATTTCTTATGTTGGCTGTTAATTATCCAAAATTTGTTGTAGATCTCGGAGCAATAAATTGTCACAGGAAAAGTGCCACATGACATCTTATTTATGGGACCGTGTGAATGCTGGCCAATCTTAGCAAGCAAACAAACATGTTTATAAAGATGGTGACTGCAAACAACCACTAGTTAAATACCACACGCTTGTTTATTTAGTTATAGAGTTGTTCATCATAGAATAATCTATGATTGATTGCAAGATGGTAAAAACTAGAGATTTTCTTTTTTTTTCCTCGTTTGAAGTGACCGTAACATCAGAGGTTTATTGGTATTTTCTGTATTCCATTGTCCTCTACATTTGTTTATTCTAGTTAAAAAACTTAATCATCAATCATTGGATTAATTAGCATTTTGTAATATTAGCGCATTACATTTTTCCGATTTATTGTTTATTCTTTACCTTAATTTTTTTCTCCTACTCCAGGGAATCGGCCATTTATCTTCCTGTCTGCCAGAGTGCATCCTGGGGAGACCAATGCTAGTTGGGTGATGAAGGGGACGCTGGAGTTCCTCATGGGCACCAGTCCCCTAGCAGTCAACCTGAGAGAGGCCTACATTTTCAAGATAGTCCCCATGCTCAACCCTGACGGAGTTGTTAACGGAAAGTGAGTTCACAGAGATGGAATAAAAGTAACATTTTAAACTTTAAAGTATTCACTCATCTGATGTAGCTGCACCTGCACGGTGGTCATAGCTAGTTTAAGGCGCATATTAAATCTTGACTGGAAGAAATCTGTAGCTGTAGCTCTGTTCTACACTCAGTATCCTGCACATCTCGTTTCTGCTGCAGTCATCGTTGTTCACTGAGTGGAGAGGACTTGAATCGCCAGTGGCAGAACCCCGATCCCGACCTCCACCCCACCATCTACCATACAAAGAGCCTGCTGCAGTATCTTGCATACATACAAAGAGCACCTCTGGTATGACTTTTAATTAACTACACTTAAATTACTTTGGGATATTTTGCACTTTGCGTCGTCCTTTTTCCTTTAACTGCCTAATTATGCTGCCAGTTCTCGAGTTCAGTGGCACAGCACAGTGTAACCGAGCAGTGCAGCATAAATGTATGTTGTACAGAAAACTTGGTGACAAGTCATCTATGAATTCATCCCAAACAACTCACTCTGCTGGCCTTGGTGCTATACTGATCAGACATTTTGAAATGTTTGTTTGTTAGGTTTTTTTTTGTGCAGACTTGTTTACAAAGCATGATCGTTTAAAAAGGAGGCTAATTATTATTTTATTTTCAGTAATTAAAATTTCTTTTTATACTACAATCCCTCTTCAGTTATTATTTGCATGGATGTTATTACTTCTACTATTTTACGGAAGAGGTTACAGCATGCATCATGAACCCCTGTTCATCCTCTCTGTATCCATAAATGCGCAGGTCTTCTGTGATTACCACGGTCATTCCAGAAAGAAAAATGTATTCATGTACGGCTGCAGCGTGAAGGAGACTGTCTGGCAGTCCGATATCAGTGCAACCTCGAGCGACTTACAAGAGGACCTTGGATACAGGGTAAACACACACTTGCACACAGGACAAGATGCACCCTTGTGGCTCTACAAAAGGTTATGTATAAGTACCGAGTCTTACTGTCCTCTATTAATTAAACCTGCTATAAGGTAGCTAATATGTATATTATAACATAATCATGTTGTGTACAACACTGTTATAGTATTAAATTGTCCCTCAGAGAAATTGCATGGGCCATCTTATTTTTATTTAAGATAAGCAATTCCAATATTTCACTTCTCTCCTTTACATGATCAAGCATTGGCCTTTTACCTGTATTAAGGTATAAATATCAAGGTTTTTCAAAAGTTTAATTCCCAAAACAACTAACCATTTCTACAATTTGAGTGGTGCAGCTCTATGAGCATCTGCATATCTGTTCATGTTCAGTTTTCATGATAACTACCTAATAATTAAGATAATCAAGGGCTAACGGAGGGACTAAAATCTTTGCACAGTTATTTTTGCTTAAGACGGAGAACAATGATTGGTTTATTTTACAGACTCTTCCCAAGATCCTGTCCCAGATCGCCCCTGCCTTCAGTCTGGCCAGCTCCAGTTTTGTTGTGGAGCGCTCCAAAGAGTCAACTGCGCGAGTTGTTGTTTGGAGAGAGATTGGAGTAAAACGCAGTTACACCATGGAAAGCACACTCTGTGGCTGTGATCAGGGCAAATATAAGGTATGAATTTGATATTTTGATATGAAAAGGGTCACTTATAGACCTGACTTTGATGATTAAACCTTATAATTGATGGCTTTCTTTGACCAGTTTCTACTGTAAATAAGACAATAAATTGCTTTTTGCAAGTGTACATTTTTAAATACAATTCATGCCTTACTAAGAAAAAATTATGTTTTAAATGTTAATATCTTAGTTAAACTTCTCTGGGCAGTGCATCACTTGAACATCCTAAATGTCCACCAGGGGGAGCTTTGGTTCTATTTTCTTCTGATGATTTCCCTTCTTTTCTCCTTCCTCTTTGGAATCATTACCATCTTATTTTTTTGGCTGCATGTTTTTCCCATCCCAGCTGATTTCTCTCCATCTGAATTTTGCCAATGTCAACATCTAATATATTTACAGTTCTAGGAGGTCTCTCTTATACCCTGTGAAAATATTTGGCAGGATGTGCAGGAACAATTGTCTATTGAGTTGTGGCTTTATACTTCAGTGTCCAGGCCAAGTTTAGATGTTTCCAGTTTTCCTCTGGAGAAAAGAAACTTGGAAGTTTTTTGGGGGGGTAAGAGAGAGGTTAGCTTTGTGTGTGGTTGCTCCCTCACTGGGGATATTTTCTCTGCATGAATGTGTCCTTCTATGGTTTTACATAAAGGTTTTCTCCACAAAATATGTTGCATCATTAAAAAATAAGCTTTTTGAATGTACACCAAAAAATTTAAAATAACTACATTTAGGCTAATTTGTGTATATTTGTGTCTTGCTTTGTTCTGATACCATTGCGTGTTCATTCCAGGGACTCCAGATCAGCACCAGAGAGCTTGAAGAGATGGGGGCCCAGTTCTGTGTAGCCATGCTGAGGCTGAAGAGGTTGACGAGTCTCCGCAATCACCAGAATCTGATGGATTTGGAGAGCGATATCATTGGAACACAATCCAAAAACGTCAGGTCTGTCTCGTATGTTACAATCAGTCTAAATATTTCTTCTATTGTGGCACTGATTAGAATGAGGCTGGAAGGGAACATTTTGTCCTCAAAGTTGACATGCTGGAAGGAGAAAAAAATGGGCAAATTTGACAGTTTCACAAAGATACAATTGTGATGATTAGATAATTGGGTCAGAGCATATCAAGAACCGCAGCTATTGTGGTCCCTTTCTGGTCTACAGTCCTCTGTATCTATTAAAATTGGTCCAAAGTGGACAAGGCACACATGAACATGGGGAGCAAAGACAGGCTCATGTGCTCTGATCCAACAGGTGAGCCTCTGTTGGCTCAAATTGCTAATGAAGTTAAAGCCAGTTCTGATTGAGAGGTCTAAGAATACACAGTGCACAGTTTTTTGTTGTTGTTGTTGTTTTTTAAATGAGGCTGCAAAACTACAAGCCAGCCAGACTACCATTGTTGATTTAAATTTTAGGTCTAATTCCTAGTAAGTCTGTAGGAGTACCGACCCATTCTCATTCAAAAGCAGTGAGTTCATTCAGAATATCACAAATTATGCATAAACTCAATTAATCTGTAACGGCATCACTGGAAATGTTTGTTCAAATCTGAATCATAAAATTGTCTCAATGTAAAGTTTCATCTGGGGTCTTGAACGTATTTTATTTTCCAGTAAACGGCCATTAAAAAGCTCTGCTCTGCTTACCTAGTGTTTGGCCGCAGCTGTGGCTGTGTGTCGCGGAGCCTCAGTGAATGTTTTCATATGTGGTGAAGAGGGAAGATCTGATCACAAGTGGACACTCGTGACACATTGTTACACCAGGTGTGAACTGAAGCACATCAGAGTCTCCACATGTGTCCCGTTCCTTTAAAGATGCTTGTTGAGGCCAGATGTAAACAATCTGTGTTGTTATAGGATGGGTCTTTGTTGAAAATGTAAAATCCTGGATATTCTTAGGCTGATTCTAATCCGACATGCTGGCTTCCAATCAAAGAATCACTTTCACAGCATCGAGTCTGGACAAGCGCTGCTTTTGTGGTTGAGTGGGTCTGCTTTTTAAGCATAGTCTGAAAGCCGTTATGATTTGTCAGTACAATCTACATTCTCCTCTGATGCACTACTCAAGATACAAATAAAGACATGCATTTATGCAGGTCTGGCGCGACCATCATTGAAATTCTATCAATTCTGTCTCCCAGCGGAGGTTTTCACGGCCACATTGAGCAGTCAGTGGCACAGTGTGGATTAAATGCACATTGAACATGTAAACTAGCCTTGCCCCTCTGCACGACCGGAATAAATTTGCATGTTATTATGGACTTAAGTAGGAGTCTTTTCAAAAGGAATTGTGCAGTCTTCATAAAATAGCTGTATGACAAAGCCTGGCCTAAGCAATCCAAGCATACCTCACATCTTTATACAGTTTACTTCTTAAACGAGGTTTGCTCTGTGAAAGAGATTCAACAAAGATGCTTGCGGAGGTTCAAATTATAGTGAAGACTTTGTTTTTTTAGGGATAACTTTTCTTTTCTCCTAAACCTACAGTGTTGTGTGGAGACTGAAAGGAGATACAAATATTCAAACATCTCCTTGTTTCAAATTACAGATACAACGACTTGTTTTTGTTTGCAGAAGATGGAAAGAGCTCTTGTTGTTTTGATGTATTGCAATAGAAATCTGTCAGCAATGCTCCGGTTCCATCTTCCTAGTTAAGAATGCATTTCTATGTGAAAGTTATACATATTGTACTATGCAGAAGTTTAACACAGGTGCAAATGAATGCATTTAAGAATAAAAGTGTAAATTTTTTCTTAACGTAACAAAATGTTGTGAACTTCAGAACACCTGCAGTTCTTCTCTGAACATTTGCACAGTTTCCTGGATAACTATTGACAGATTTTCTGTAGGCGTCGTCAAATTCTTCAGACAGAACTGATGATAAAGGTCAGATTTTTTACCAGTTCAAATAATTTTACAACAGTAACACTTATTGAAAGTCATTAGTGTTAAGGATTTTTTTCAGACTGTGCCGACATTGCAAAGCTGAAAAAGATACTTAAACCACACGGGAGCGTGTTGCATAAACATGAGAAAACACAAAGACTTCTTTCTTCACAGTTTTGCTATGTTGTCCTCTAACAATGTTTCTTAAATGCTCATTGGACAATAAATCAGCATTACTCCAAAGAGAGAGCTGGATAGATGGATGTAGGTAGATGTTTGTGGAGAAAAAGAAAAGAGCCTCATAGATCAGATGAACTATTCTTCATTGAGCATTGTTCAGGTTATCTTTATGTCTGGAGCTCCAACATTCTCTTCTCTGGGGATTTGTCAACTCTGTTAATTTGCAAGAATGCGTTTGTACCCCAAACTGCCATTTCTGTTCCTCCTTCACTTCACTGCTCTCCTTTTTAGTAGCATACTCTACTTTCATATTGATATATTCATTCATCATTTATGTGGCCGATCATTAAGGGACTCCAAAAGTGTTTGTTTGTGTGTGAGTACCCTTTGGGAAATGGTTGCTCTCATCCTTGATTTATGGTTTTATATGTAGGTCTCTGTATGGTAGCACTTACCATTTTAACAGAGCATGCAAACAATGGCTGTAGCTTTTGGGAGGTCTACCATAATGCCCCTAAACATGAGGGACATGTTTATTTCTGTTTGCCTTTCAGGATAATAGACGTTTAAATGTGTCAGGGTCTCTTTGCAAGGCAAAATACAGAGATTTTAATCCCACTTTTTAATGTTTTAAAGCACATGTGACAAATTCTGAAAATGTCAGTGGCGTCTGGAGTTTTTTGTAATGGCCTTTAATGGTTGGTGCACAACTTCTGCAATCCGATTCGATAATATTCTGTCTGTCATTACACACTTACTGTACATTTACTGACGCACAGTTTCTCTGTATCTCTGTCCATCTCATGCACTCACCAAGGGGAGCTCAGTGGGAGCTCATTGTCTATACACCCCTCTCCTCCCACCCATATGATCGACTGTCTCTCTCGGATCGCATTTCAGACCATTAACACCATTAAAAACCCACTAAAGCCACTAAAACCTCAAAGAACCAGCAACCATTTAACCATTAGGACCCATAGGAAAAAAAACAGCCTCACTGGCGGGAGCTTACAACCACTGTTTGTTAGCAACATGAATTTAGTTAGCATTTAAAACTCAGTTAATATGTATGGGTTGTTTTGTTTTTTTTCCCCATTTTTCATTTTTTGTACTACATTTTGTTTGTTTGTAATACATTTCTGGCACAATTATCTTGCGAGAATTGCATACTGGCCTATGCATAATTATGTCGTAATTCATTGTCAAATAATTCCTTTATTAAGAAATTAAAAGAAGAAAGAATAACTTTGTCCTGATTGTAACAAAAGTTTTTTGTTTTATCATTCAAATTCATGTTCTTTTGTTGTTTTGTTTCTGCAGCAGCTGTACCACTACCTACGTGTTGGAGGAGGATGAGCCATCCTTTCTGGAGGCCATCGACTACAGCGCGGAAAGCAACGACGAGGACGCAGAGCCTGAAAGCGATGTCTGCGGTGACGGCCAAGAGAATTTCGATCAGCTGTCAGACTCTGAAACTATTCACAGGAACTAGTATTACTCTCCCTCATATGTGGTGGTTTGAGCTTACAATTAGTGCTTGGGTTATTAGTTGAACAACTTTAAGATTTCACTCTTCAAACAGAAAGATGCATCACCTCCTACTGTGTCTTGCGGATAAATAGTCACCCCTGTATTCTGTGATGGATTAGTCTTGGTCGGGCCTCTGTTAGCAGCTTGTTGCTCCTCAAGGTGCATACACCACCTGCCTTTCTCTTCAGATATATTAGCATTAGCAACTCTAAGAATAAGGATGGATTTCACTGAATGTTTTCACCATTTCAGCACCAAACTATAACCCTCCGAAGCCTCAGACACCATACAGCCTCTGAGATTCACATGTACATAATCGGAGTTATTGTATATGAAACTCCTCTCACCTGCAACAGTATAATTTAAAAGAAAACAAAAAACAAATCTCCTTTCTAGTGAGAACCACCTTGCCTTCTTTGTGAAAGATTGGTGAGCTGTGCTTGTTTTCATGTTATAAAATCACCGTTCTTCACTTTTAACCCTTCACATTTATCAAAAACTGAATCTATTATATCACATGAATGTAAATCATTCACATCTTTATGAAAATGAACCTTCTTCCTGATGAATTAAGATATCAACACACAAACCTTCACGAGCTCAAATGCGCACAGCAGTTAAACATTTAGACTGAATGTATACCGTCAGTGTTTATTGTTTTCACAATCCACAGTATTCTGAAGCAGTATGAACAATAAGCATGATTGTCAGAAACCAAAAAACATTTATTTGCACTGTTTCTACAACCAGTTAACACTTGAAACAACAAAGAACAAACCTGAGAGTAAAAACTCATTTTATGTGTTACATATAATCACCTCTGACGTTCTCTGAGCCCAGTAAAAGGTGATGCTCACATTAATGTGACATTAAGAAAAGATGAGACTGGAATTTTGCCACCACTTTATCTTTTTCTTATTTCTTTTTTTTTTTTTTTGAAGTATACATTTTGCTAATTTGCAGAATGTCTCGTCAGTAAGAACAGATGGTGCTGCTTATTAAAGTGTGAAATAGTTTTAAATTTTTTGTTTTGTTTTTGCGGATGTGTCTCTTGGATTTGTACAGATGGTGCATGGCTTATTGAAATATTGAATTGGAAATACTTTTAATTTATGAAGTCTTTCATATGCATCCTGCATGTTTGTATGACTCATTTTTAGTGTATGAATGCAAAATCTGCGTGCCCAGGATTTTAAGTTGTCCCATTATGCTGCTCAGCTCTTAAAAGTGTGCTTCTATCAGATCTGTCGTTTTTCTTTTGCCTATCTTATTCCCTCTCTTTTCTTCCATCCTTTACATTTTTAATCCTCTTCTATCCTTGGACTAGATGTCCTTTCACATTTTGCTCATGAGCATCTTAAAAACCCCGAACAATGTGTGTATGTGTGTGTGTTTATTTTATTGTAAAACTGTGTGCTGTCTTATTTATGTTTGGAACAGTTGACGTTTACACCTTGTGGGCTGTATTTTATTTGACTGTAAACGAGCAGAAATTGTCTATTTAATTTGTGTGGCATAAAGTTGATAAAAAGCAAGTTTCAGGAAATAAATTGTGAACATGGAAAGCTGTTGTATTTTTCTTTATTTTTGCCTTAGTGAACTTAATGTTACCAACATTGTAATACAGTTGTGACATATTGTTTCTTGAATCATCAACTAGATGAGCACAAAGATTTGTCCTTGGGAAGGTTTCTTTTTATCCTTTGGGAACCAGCCCTAATTGAACAGACTGAATTATAGTGAGAGGGAAATGAAACTCAGATAATGGAGCAGGACTGTCCTACTTACCAACTATTTAATTCAGATCATCATAATGATTTTATATTCATTGCTATATACATTAAATTGTAAAATTATGGACCTGTTACAATAGACCCCGAAATCATTTATTTTGACCAGAGTAGCTCAGATAGTCAGGTTATTGGTGATGAATCAAGTTAGATATGTATGTTCTGTTTTTAAACAAGTTTTCTTTTTTAAATTAAAATCACATGAGTTTATTCATGTCCAAAATCTTTAGTGCTAACATATTTTTGCAAAGAGTTGGACAAATGTCAAGCTTTTAGTTAATTGAAAAAGGCTGCAGCATGAACAACAGTAAAATGTTGTTTTATCAGCGAGCTGTGCTGCAGGGGCAGATACGCTCCAAACAGTTTGCTTGTGTTGGCCGTGGTTACCTCTAAAGACAAGCGTGCAACCAGGGAAAATGTCTGAAGGAAAAAAGCATCAAAAGGCAGTTTTCAATTGAAGGTGTAATGGTAGAGCAGAGCTCCATACTCAGAGGCTGAGGGGCCATTCAGGGTTTGATTTCTAATCTGAGGCCCTTGCTGCATTCCTTCCCTCCTGTCTGTCCAACAGTTGTGTGGAATAAAAGTCCACTGGCAGCACAAAATTATCTAAAAACGTTGGTCAGGTATTTTATTATATAAAATGGGAATCTGAAAATAAAATCTCTCCATTCCAGGCATTTGTCATGCTTTGATGATGAATTATCTAGAATCTTAGCAGTACTCCCGACATATGGATCAGGGAAGTTTCTGCCATCATCCAGAATAAAAGTACACTGTACTGTACAACAGCATGTAGAGCGCTGTGACCAGCTAAATCATGGTTTACAATAAAACCACCACTAAAAAGTTGCAATAAAATTTAGCTTCACATGCTGTTTTCTCAATTTTCAATTTTAACTTTGACAGCTTATTAAAGTTACTTCGCTGAGGGAAGAGGAGGAAAGAGCTACCATGAAGGACTCTGATGAAATTCCTGTGTATTCTTGTACAATTTATATCCGCAACAGATGGAGTTACAAGAACACAACCATGAATGAATATGGTGCCAAAAGACTCTAAGAGCAATGTTGTCCAATTACAATGAACTCATTTGATATAGGACAGTTTTTGCAAGTTAAGGTTCAAAAATATACTGATTTGTTTTTAGATTAACAAAATTAAATGTATTTGCTTATCAAAACAGCAGTTCTATAGAAATGAATGCTTAATAAAGCAAATTAACTTTTTGATTGGTCTTTAGCCCCTGTAAAAAAAAAAACAAAAAAAAAAAAATCAAACAGATAATTGCATAAAAATAAAAATAAAATTAATTAACATCTGATTTTAGTCCAGGAGAACAGATATGAACTAGTTTATGTGAATGTAACACCAACACTAAATATCTAAACAAGCCCTGCAAAATGAATAGAAATAGGGTGGGGAGGTTTGTGCTAAGGATACATTTCAAAGGTCAAAACTGAGCTAAACTTTTTTGTTTAACCAGCTGTTATAGCTTAAAATATACTACTATTACAGTCAATAATACTATAAAAACAGTATTATTACAGCCAGACAGAAAGAACTTATGGTTTCTTGTGAAAACATTACGCGATCAGTTATTGACTGACGCGGTCTTCTAGCTGCTGTGTTACCATAGGAATCCAGACTTGAATGTCATCTTAATAATTTCATGTGGTCAGGTCTGTGGAAGCCCAGTTTTGTTGTTAGAAGTAATTTGAAGACAAAAAAAAAAAAAAACTCATAAAGGACTTAAAAAGTAAGTCGAAACCTCAACAGTCCCAGTTGGAGACATATTTGTTGTCTGTTGTATTGTTTTTGTTATTCAGTGCTGGGCTGTCGTTAGTGGTTGCCTCAGGTATAGGAGACAGGAAATGTATCCACCACCAGCAACATGAAAAGATCATTCTCACTGACAGTAGCTTGTCAATTATAAAACACGCTGTCCAAGCACCTTTAAAGACAGCTTGTGTTGCTTTGAATTATAATTTATGACTACAGCAGATTCTGCTTAAAATGGGAGAATTAGAAGGTTCCTCAGGTGTAAAATCACACCTGAGCCTCTTCTGCCAAGGTCACTCAGCAAAGAAATATGAATATCTACTCTGGATTTTTTTAAACATTGGATTGCATGATATAAGACGAAACCTACACCACTAGTAGATGCTTCTGTTTTTGTGCAATGCTATTTTTAAACCAGTTCCAGGCAAGTAAGGTGATCTAAATATGGCTTTTGAACTAATTTAAATGTCAGGATTCAGCTTGCAGGTAGATGCATAAGAACTCAGATTTCAGGTCACAGACATTCAAGAGACTTTCAGTATATAAATGTAAAAACACCTATCAAGATTACAAATTCAAACATCCAGCTTTTGAAGAATGCTTCTCTCAAATTTGCCTACTTTTTTGCCCCTTTAGCCTACTTTCAGGTGATATGTGACAGGAAAAAATATAATAATGAAAACAGAAAGGCAGTACAAAACAAAGTTTAGTCCAAATAGAAAAAATACTTTTCTTTTCTCTAAGTATGGCTGTTTTACATAATGTTTAGCCCGATTTTAAAGATTTAGAAAGCTATGTGGCATTTTAACTTTAATCAAAGTTTTAATTTTTATGCTGTTTGACCCTAAAATATGGTTTCCATGTAAGGAAGTACAGATAATTTTATATACTTTCATATAATCAGATTGTAGCTACAATCAGACACCCTCCATCATTTTGCTCAGACACAGAGAAAAATTAACTAAGCAGTTAGGTTAAGCTAAGCTGCTTTTTCAGACATGAGAAGAATTTTACTGACAGAGTTCACATAAAAGTTAAAAACTTTTTTTACCTGAATCTTTATGCTCACAAACGGCATCTGCTACCGCACATTCATTCAAATAATTTTGTTTGAAAGTTGTTTGATTTAATCTGAAAAACTTTCACATCCTGCATATGTATACATAGCTTTTCGTTTTTAATAAAGCCTTTTTATGGCAAACAGGAGGATTTTTGAAGATTTTTTTTTTAGATGATAATTTTAAGTTAGACACCATTGGTATCAAAACTATAATGAACCTTTAAACTTCCTGAATATATTTAGCACTGTTGGATCTACATAGCCCTGTTGTCGGCTAATAGAGCATAAGTAGATACTCAATCACTTTATTTCATTGGCACAGTTGTTCGACCATTTGTTCAGCAGTGTACCTCCGCTGCTTAAGTGCACCGAGTAACATAATCTTTTTCTTCTCAGGAAATGACAAGGGCAAGGAGGGAGTGACAAAAAGCCTTTGCAAATGTCCTGAAAATAAGCTCTGAGTGATGCTCAATGTAAATGGATATAAGTGGACAGGAAGACTCAGAGAGGGGAAAAAGCGAGAGCAAAAGTACAGAGGAGGACGAGAGGAATTTGAAGAGGTGGAGAGGCATGTTAATCTGGGAAAGGCAGCGCAGAGAGAAAAGCTGCTTTCCGCTTTAAGCCCCACGCCCTCACTTCCTGTCCCAGCTGTCAATCACGGGTTCTCAAGAGCATCACACAAAAGACGGCCCTCTTTCCTCCAGCCACTGCCACAAACACCAACACAATCCAAC